GGTGTATCCATCTCTGAGTGGGCTATGTCTACAGGTGGGCCAAGTGTGTCTGGGCTCAGGTGTATCCATCTCTGAGTGGGCTATGTCTACAGGTGTCCACAGGACTCAAGAGTTCCAAGCCCCACATTCTAGATCTGACAGAGCTGGGCCCCACAGGGAGGCCCTGGCCTGATCCCACTCCCTAGTGTCTACTCACCCAACAATTTCTTTTTCCTCTATTATTTTTCACACCCTCACTGCAGTATTTTTGCTTTGGCTTGGTGGTTACACTCTTTATTGTGAATTGGGGGAAGTTCCATAAGCAGACCATTTATACCCATTTTGTGCCAACTCAATGTCCCAGCCCTCATCCCCTCCCGCCCTCCCTCCCTGTGTCCCCTGCTCCCATTCCTCTTGCCGGAGCCTTTTGTCCTTGGCCCAGCGCTGCCCCCTTGATCACACATGGATGGTGGTTCTCCAGAGAGGTTGTGGCATAGGAAAGCGTGGGTGGACAGGGAGACGGTGCTCGGACAGAGGCACCTGGTCCTGCCAGAAACAGGACGCCCTGTGGTGGGTGGGCGGGCATGTGTGAGGGACCCAGGGATATAGGTGTGGTCCAGGCAGGAGGGCAGCAGGCCGTGCCCCAGCCCAGGGTACCTGTAGGTGAGGTCGGTCTTGTCCCAGCGTCCGCCAGACAGCACAAACCGCTTCTGCCTGTTGCGGGCACTCAGCATCTCGGGCGGGTCAGGCACCCCGCAGCGGGGTGGTCGGGGGCCGCTGGCCAGACGGGAGGACTCCTGGGTGGCAGGCACCAGCCTATTGGGCAGCGTTTCATGCCAGGGCTTAGGTCCCCTCCTCATGGGGTGGTGGCGGTGGGTGTCCTGGGCAGGAGAGAGTCAGGCCTGAGGTCCAGATGGCCGACCTACTTACTGCCTGGCCAGGCATACTTGGGGTGAAGGGCAGAGTGAACCCGAGGTTCGCCCCGTGTGTGAAGCTCCATCACTCTGGAGCCATGCCTCCTGCCAGCCACTGAGACAGGCTAGGGTCCCTCAGTGGCCCCTGTCTGCTCACCCTGGTCAGTGGGCACAGAACTCCCTCCCACAGGGTTGCTGGAAGGAAATGAGCGCGCCCCCCCACCCCACCCCCCCGTGGGTGAGCAGCCTGGGGCACAGGGAAGGCAGCTGATTTCAGCCTAGCCCAGGCTCACACACAGCAGGTCCACCAAGTGGCCTGCTTACCCCTCAGGTCCAGGCGATGGCCGTTTCCCAGCTGCCCTGTGGCTGCGTCATCCGGTCCGGGGAGAGTCCCAGGGCAGAGGGCAGGACACTGGTCCTAAGCTGAGTTGGCTTCCGGCAGCCGTCTGGCCAGGTGCCTGCTGCCTCCCCACGGCCATATTTAGGGCGCTGAACTGGGCCTTGGCTGCTGTCCCAGGCCCAGGAGCCTACAGCCCTGAGCAGCAGGCCCCAGCCCTCACTGTGCACACCTCCCAGCTGGGCTCTGAAAGGGCATCTGGGAAGCCTGGAGCCCTAAACCCAGGAGCTATTCGGGGATCCAGGCCCGGTCCTGGTCTATGGTTACCCTGCTGGGTCCAATGGCCCTGGGTCCTGTGGCTGGTGGTAACAACAAACCCAAACCCACTGACATCGCGTCCCGACTCCCAGGGCCTCCACAGGACTAAGCACTGCTCTCTCGGTTTTCTGCGGTTGTCGGTCTTCCTGGGGGGTGATGGGCTCCTCTTCCTTCCAAGGAGAAGCAGGGTGGTAGGTTTGAACTGCCGGCCTCGCAGTCTGGCATTTAACCCAGGGCTCCGCCAGGGCTCTTAAAAACCAAACCGAATCTGCTGCCTTCAAGCCGATTCCTACCCGTAGCAAGGTGGCCAAGGTTTTGTAAATCTTCACAAGAGCTGGGCAGCCTCGTTGTTTTCCCATGGAATAGCTGATGAGTTCGAACTGCTAACCTTGCGGGAAGCAGACTGACGCTCACACAATAGCGCCACCAGGGCCCCAAACCTCCTCCAATCGTCTGCTCTCTGGAACTCCTGTCACTAACTCACTCCCAGCTGCCAGAGGCCTGTGTGCCCCCCAGAGTAAGAAATGGGAAGTCACAGCTGCCTGTTCAAGCCAGAGAAGATCACACACACACACACAGCTTCGAGCCCTGCCCGCCCCACCCCCCCCCTTATCATAGCTCCTTGATCTTGGGGCCTTCGATGAAGCCTCACCAGTAGTGTTTTCAGACTCCATCATTGGCCAGCCCCAGTTTCTGCTAGCTGCCCAAGTGCCACCGTTTCTGGGCCCAGGGCCCAAACCAATTTAACTGCCATGAGCAAGACCTCCTGGGGCCTCAGGGCTCCATTGGCGCTCCATTCACACCCCTGGAGGATGGGGAGCATACATTACCCCCATTTCCAGAGAAGTCAGGGAATCTCCCCAGGTTTGAGTCCAGCTGGGCCCAGAGCCCAGAGCTTCCTCACTCTTCCGCTGCTGGCTTCCAAAGAGAGCCGTGCTCCGAATTCCTGAGGGCTGTGTCTTCCTCCAGGGCACTCTCTTGGCCTCCCTGGCCAGCTGGTGGCCTTTCCAAAAGTCCTGCCCCACTCTCCTGGCCCAGCCTTTGGAGAGCACCCGACAGCAGCTGAGATCATGCTTAATTGACAGGGGCCAGGGGACCAGCTTCCACCGCAGAAAATGGGCAGTGCCCAGCGGAGGGGCCATGGGGGGTTGGAGGTAGCCTGGGCTAAAGAAGTTACTCCAGCTCTCTGGGTGAGATAAAAAGGGTTAATGGGCTCAGGGCTAATCTGCAGTGGGAGGCTGGAGGTCCCTAAGGGCTCCTTCCATTGTGTCTCCCCAAAGCATGGGATCAAAGAGCCCTACTGGCAGAGTGGGTTAAGCATTGGACTGCTAACCCCAAAGTCAGCAGTTGGAAACCACCAGCCGCAAAGAGGGGGCCTTTTGTTCTTGTGAAGATTCAGAGCCTTGGGAACCCAACAGCCCTCGGTGGCGCAGCGGTGACGTGTTAGGCTGCTAACCACAGGGTCAGCCGTTCTGAACTAACAGCTTCTCCGAGGGAGGAAGAAGAGGCTGTCTGCTCCCGCAAAGATTCACAGCCTTGGGAACCCACAGGGGGAGTTCCACTCTGTTCTGTAGGGTCGCTACGGCTGAATTTGGACCTTCTCCACTGTTGGAGACTAAAACCTTTGGTGATGAAACCACCCTCATGTGGTATGTGCATCTACAGCACTGCCAGGAAACCAGGAGAGAGGTTTTGGTCCACCGCGAGTGGGCGGGAGAGAGACAGGCTTTCTACTCCCCCTCCCCAAAAAGAGGGATAGTCTCGGCAGCCACAGGGACAATTCTACCTTGTCCTATAGTCAACATGAGCCAGCATTGACTTGAGGGCAGCGAGGTCTGTTTGATTTTTTTTTTGGAGTTTGAGGTGGCTAGGAGGAAAGGCCTGGCAACCCTCTTCTGAGAGAGTCAGCCATTGCCAACTGTCTGAGGAAGCCGGCACCCTTGTGTTCTGACCGCTGGCCAGGAATAGGACTCCACTCAATGGCAGCTGGTGCCAAGGCTACTGTTAGCGTGAGGTCTAGAAGCGGGCCCTGGCCCCACTCAAGGTTCGGGAACCTGCCTCAGGTACCCAGCAGTAGGAAGGTTGTACTGATAAGCTGCTCAGCCCATCTTGTCCCCTCCTGTCTACCCCCCTGCCCCACGCACACACTCCCATTCAACCCCAGCTGGCTACCGGTCCCAGGGAGCTGTAGCTCTGGGCTTTCATCACCCTGAAAGCTGTGAACAGGCTGGGATAAATATTTACAGAACCCTCCCACCCTGCTGCCGGCAGCCTGGGGATAAACATGTGAGAGCGACCCCAAATGCTCTGAATGTCCGTGGGGCAACAGCCTGGCTCAGACCTGTGCCACCCCCACCCCCCCCAGCCCTCTGAACAAGTGTCCAGGGTCTCTGTCCCCCAGGCTGTAGACTTTGCTGCGCCCAGGGAGTGTCCCAGACGGAAGCGGGTTCTCCCAGGTCAGTCACATAGCTCAAATCCCAACCCACTGCTGTTGATCCTTGAGTCTGACTCACAGGGACCCTCTAGATCAGAGTAAGGCAGCTCCCTAGGGTTTCTGAGGCTGTC